CTCCTTCTTTACCAATGTTTTCAACCAGTTTATATAATATTGGAATTAATTTTCTTTAAATGTTTGATAGAATTTGCCTGTAAATCCATCTAGTCCTAGGGATTTTTTCTTAGGGAACTCATTTATGACAATTTCTTTTTCTTAGATAGGGTTAAGTAAGTATTCTACTTCCTCTTCTGTTTATCTAGGCTATTTATATTTTTGTAAAGATTCTTTTATTCAGGTTTTTTAGTTTTATTGGCATATAGTTGGGCAAAATAAATCCTAACAATGGTTTTAATTTCATCTTCATTATTTGTGCATTCACTTTTTTCATTTTGATACTGGTAATTTGGTCCCCTCCTCCTCCTCCTCCTCCTCCTCATGGGGTTAAGTGACTTGCCCAGGGTCACACAGCTAGTAAGTGTCAAGTGTCTGAGGCCAGATTTGAACTTAGGTCCTCCTGACTCCAAGGCTGGAGCTCTTTTTTTTTCAATCCATGCCTGGAATGCAAGCCCTCCTTACCTCTGACTCTTAGGATTCCTAGTTTCCTTTAAAGCTCAACTCACATGCAGCCTCATAATGGAATCCTGGACTTAGCTTTGTTTTAATGTATCTAATCCTTTGGCTGTTTAACCCATTCCTTCCTCCAAAGGTGCCTTTGACCTGTAGCTTTTCTTTCCCAAGAAAGGGATTCTCACCTGTTAGTTCCTTTGTCTCCTAGTCAAGAGCAATGAGATTTCACTTCCCAGGAGTTCTTCTGGTGGGCAATTCAACCTGTGTCATCGGGTATTGGACCAAAGCATTCTCCCTACAGGTTTCCCTGGGTACCCCATCCTTTCCTCCCTGCAAAACCATTCATTCAAGAACATAGTTCCCCTGCATTCTAGCTTCAGATCTAGTATGTAACAAAATAAGCTTATTTCTCCTTGATATTCTGATATTACAAATATTCATTTCATTGTAGCTAGTATTGCTGTTCCCTCAACTTTAAATGGAAAGTTTTCTCTTCCTGGAGTCATTTATTAGTTTGCTTGAAGGATTCATTGAAAGCAAGGATGCCTTGCTATAATACCTGCTGTGTTTTGCTCAGGGATACTTGCTTGCTATAGGCAATTTCCTTTGATGGGCTGTGGAAAGTAATGAGATCTGAGATAGGGAAGAAACAAGAAGTCACAGACTATGTTACATAAAACATATTACCACCATGTTGCAGAGTTGGATGTACTGGCAGACTTCCTGGTTGTTTTATGTTCTGCAACATTTAGAAATGTATTTCCCAACATCAGCTTCTAAGTGTGTTTTACAATCTCAGTAGCAGACTTCTTATCCCCTGTATTTCTGCATTTGATTCTTGGATCAAAGATATTAGCAGCAGCATAAATGGACTGATATCAAAATTTTTCTTGTTCTTAATAATGTCTTTCATTTGTCTTTATTCTGTGCTTATGAGTAGAAAGACCCGTAGATATTATGTGGGTATATATATATATTTATAAACTAAATTGGTTTTCTTGGGGCCATTTGGTGAGGAACATCTGGCAGAAATAGATTGACTCAAATGGAGTGGTTGCTATAATTATTTTACATAAAAATGTTTCTATTTTAGAGGTCTTAGTTGGGAGGATCCCAGATGGCCATATATAAATCTCTTAGATTAATATTTTCATTTTGAAAATAAATTATAACCCCCTTTTAAAGTATATTTTTCAGGGTTTAAAGGTCCTCAACAGAGAACCAGGAGAACTGAAAGTGTAGCTCAGCTCTTCCACTGACTTTATTTGTGTTCTTAGGTAAATCATTTTCAAACCTCTCAGGTTCTTCATCTATAAAAATGATTTTGTACTGAACAGGTGAATGAAAAACTCAGCCCACTCAATAAGCATTGATTAAGCACCTACTATGGAACAGGAAGTGTTAGGAATACAAAGAAAGGCAAAAAGATAATCCTTGCCCTTGAGAAGCTCTCATATTCTAATGGGGGAGACAGCATGCAAACAGTTGTGTAAGCCAGCTTTCTACAGGGTTGTGTTGTTCATAGCTTTCCTTCCAAGGAACAAGCATCTTTTAATTTTGTGGTTGCAGTGGCCATCTGCAGTGATCTTTGAGCCCAAGAATACAAAATCTGACACTGTTTCCATTTCTTCTCCCTCTATTTGCTGGGAAGTGATGGGGCCAGTTGCCAAGATCTCAGTTTTTTTTCAATGTTAAGCTTCAAGCCAGCTTTTACACTCTCCTCTTTCACCCTCATCAAGAGGCTTCTGCACTCTTCACTTTGTGCCATCAGAATGGTCTCATATGCATATCTGAGATTGTTGATATTTCTCCCAGCCTTAATTCTTTTGATTCTTCCAGCCTGGCATTTCACATGATGTACTCCGCATGTAAGCTAAATAAATAAGGTGATAACATATAGCCTTGTCGTACTCCTTTTCCAATCTTAAACCAATCAGTTGTTCCATGTTTGGTTCTAACTATTGCTTCGGGGCCTGCATACAGGGTTAGTAGAAGGTAATCTTAGAGGAAAGGCTTCCTGTATAAGCCAGGAGGCAGAGTGAGAAGAGAGAGCATTCTAGCCATGAGGGTCAGCTAATGAAAAGGTGCACGGATGGGACAAGGAAATTCACATATGAGAAACAGCAAGTGTCACTGAAACATTGAGTGTGTGGAAGGCACTGACTGGAAAGGGAGAAGGGAGCCAGGTTATGCAGAGCTTTGAACAACAAGCAGAGAATTTTGGATTTGATCCTGAAGGCCATAGGAAGTCATTAGAATATATTCAATGGGGGGGGGGGTTAGAAAAATCATTTTGACACCTGCATGGAGGATGGATTACAGTGGGGAAGTCAGGGAAGTCAGGCAGGGAGATAACTAGAAGGCTCTGGCAATAGTTCAGGTGTGAAAGGATGAGGGCCTTCATTAGGGTGACTGGGAGGATGATAGTTCAGTCAATAGTAATTGGAAAGTTTGCAATCTCTATGCTGATGTTTCTCAGATCTGTTTGTTCAGCCCTAATGACTTCTCTCCAGCTCTTCTATGGCCTTTCCACTGACCTCCAGGCTTGTATCTCCAGGCTTGTATCTACCTACTGGACATCTTAAACTCACCATTGTCCATAACTAAACTCATCATCTTTCCCCCTAAACCTTCCTGCCTCCTAACTTCCCTAAGGGCCCAGTCCCCCAGGTTCACAAACTAGGTATCATTCTTGACTGTCACCCCCCAGATCCAATCAGTTCTCAAGTCCAGTCTTCTATGTGGGACACAATGGATAGAGCACTGGGCCTGAGTCAGGATGACCTGAGTTCAAATCTGGCCTCAGACACTTACTAGCTGTGTGACCTTGGGCAAGTCAGTTAACCCTATTTGCCTCAGTTTCCTCATCTATAAAATGAGCTGGAGAAGGAAATGACAAACCACTCCAGTATCCCTGTCAAGAAAACCCTAAATGAGGTTACAAAACGTCAGACTTGACTGAAATGACTGAAGACTTCTATATGCTCCCTTCTGTCCTGTGACACCATTACCACTCTGGTGCAGACTCTCATAACTTTGTGCCCGGACCTTTATAGCTGGACTCCCTTCCTCCAGTGTCTCCCCACCACGGCTAAGTGGTACTACAGTGGATAGAATGCCAGGCTTGGAGTCAGGAAGACTTGAGGTCAAATCTGCTCTCAGATACTTACTAGCTGTGTTATCTTGGGCAAGTCACTTAGCCTCTGTCTGCCACAGTTTCCTTATCTATAAAATAGGGATAATAATAGCACCTCCCTCCCAGGTTGTTGTGGAGATCAAATGAGATGATAATTGTAAAGCTCTTAGCACAATGCCTGGCACCTAGTAAGTGCTATATAAATGTTAGCTATTATAGCTATTATTACAGTCCATCCTCCATTCAGATGTTCCTAAAGCACAAATCTGACCATGTCACCCTCTTAACTCAATAAACTTCAGTGGTCTCCTATTGGCCCCAGAATCAAATATCAGATCATCTGTTTAGCCTTTAAGGCCTTCATAACTTGGCCCTTTCCTAGTTTTCTAGGCTTCTTCCACCTTACTCCCTCCACCCTGCCCCCAATATGCTGTATAGTCAAGTGGCACTGGTCTTGTTTTCCCTAGGGCTCCATCTTAATCCATCTCCCAGTTCTGGGCATTTTCACTGGCTGTCCCCCCAAGCCCAGAACTCTCTCCCTCCTCATCTCTGTGCCCTGGGTTCCCTGGCTTCCTTCAGGTCTCAGCCTTTTTCTAGTCCTCCTTGATCTTCATGCTTTTCCTCTGACACCATCTCCCTATCTCCAGTTTATCCAGCATAGATCTTATTTACACAGACTTGTCTCCATTAGAGTATGAACTTAAGAACAGGGACTATTTTTTGCCTTTCTCTGAACCCGCAGTGCTTGGCACAGTGACCGGCACATAACAGGTACTTCACAAATGCTTGTTGAAGTTATTGATTTGGATGAGGGGGAGGGATTAGGGAAAAGCATACTGACTTTTGTTTTAGACAATAAAAAGCATTTGCTTGATGCTTACTATGTACAAAGCCCTGTGCTAAGCACTGAGGAAATAAAGAGAAGGGTAAGACTGCTCTCAAGAAGCCTCCGTTCTAAGGGGAGAGACAATAACACAAATGTGGGTTTCACCCACAAGTCGGATTTTTCATTTCCTCCATTTGGTTTTTCATTTCCTTCATGATCCTTAGGGGCAGTGGCAAAATAGATGGTAATGTATATGTTTAAAAATGATTTCCATTGATAAAATGATATTCCTTTCTAATCTTGAGCCATCTTACAGTATCAAAGACTTACTTTGACTATGAGAATGTTCTTTTCTGAGTCTTTGGTAGCTGAGGCTGTGGAGGGGGTAGGTACTGCAATAAACCTTTAAACCACTAAAATATTGCTTATTGAAGAATATGGCCCTGGGTAACTGGTTACTGAGAGTGCCAGTTTCATTCAAGTTCCTGGGGATCCCACCCAGATGGTATATTTTGTGATGCTTCCTTTTTTTCCCCTCTAAAGGGCCAGATGGTCATGTGACCAGGTATAGTTTGGAGTGGCTGCTGAAGAATAGCTATGAAGGGCAGAAGCAGACCATCCAGCCTAGAATTTTGTGGAATGCAGAGATCTACCGGCAGGCCCAGGTGCTGCCTGTTGACTTCCAGAGCTTTTTGGAGACCAAGGATGGCCTGAAGGAGTTTCTGCAAAACTTCCTGCTCTATGGAATTGCATTTGTAGAGAATGTCCCTCCAACTCGAGAGGATACAGAAAAGTTGGCGGGCAGAATCAGTTTGATCAGGTAAACTTTAGTAGGACCTAGCCAACATCCAATTTCTCATTTCCACCATGATTAACATGCAGAGCCCGAGGACCAGAAATCAAACATGACTTGATTACTCATTCTCATGCATAAATTCAAAATATCATGTGGCAGTAAGGCCTCTGATACTTACTTTTATGCTGCAGTTTCTAATATGGAGGCATATGTAGCAATCCAGGAGATTTTCCAGCCCATTGATTCTCTAAGTATGAACTGGGTGGGCAGTACTGTATTGCCAGTCCATCCTAGAAACCAAAACAAAGGGAAAGAAAGGTGAATTCAGGATACACTTGGTGCTATTTCCTGGCAAAATTCTAGAATAGATTGCACATTAAAAGGCAAAATGATCGTAAAGAATTCACATGGGTTCAGGAGGAAGTCATGAGCTGCCTCGACTTTCCAGGGCAGAATAGGACAGGTGTGGCAAGAGGAGGATTTAAGTAAGAGGCAAGTACAGGTCTGGACAATCTCTGTTAGAGTTCAAACAAAAGGGGGTGATCAAATGCCTCAGCAGTCCATTTCAATGCCATGCAATTCAGCAATGTGTCAGGCATTGCACTTGGTGCTGGGGGCACAAATACAGGGAACTTAAGCACATGCTGACATTCTACTGTTCAGATCCAACATGTATTTTACACAAAACATTACCAAAGTAAATACCAGGTAATTTGGTGATTGTAGTGGAGAGGGGGGAGGCAGGTCACTAACACCTGAAGAGATCTGGGAAGTTGAGCTGAGCCTTGATTCCCCAAGGTGGAAGTGGAAGGTGAGGAAGAAGGAGGGCCTTCCAGGCCAGGCAGCCAGATCCAGGGTAGAAGGTAAAATGTTGTGTATAGGCAACAGCAGGTAGCACTGTTTGGCTTCAGCAGAGAATGAATGAGAGGGAGTCTAAAGACATAGGTTGGAGCCAATCTGTGAAGGAACATAACCAAACAGAGGAACTCCTGTTTTATCTAAGTGGCAATAGGAGCTGCTGAAGCTTCTTGAGCAGGAGAATGGCATGGTAATTTGAAATTCCCATACTCTAGAAATATCAGTCTGTTCGTTGTGTGGAATATAGGTTGGGAGAGACCGGAGTCAGGAAGACCAGTTAGGAAGCTGGTACTAGAAGATGGGCTAGGCTGGGGATCTTCTACTGGAGCAAGCATTCAGGGCTCATGCCACAGACAGGGACTGAAGCCTGATGAGGTGGATGTGGGCAGCGTGAGCTGTAGGAGGTCTGAAGGCCAAGGAGAGAGGAATGAGGAGATGCCAAAGCTAGAGTTGTGGTATGGACTCATTCTCAGTGGCTCCTGTTACAATAGTAAAAGTTTGGAAGCAGTGTCCATAGCATGGTTGGGAGGCTGGGGGAGGGAGGTTAGGGCACTGGACTTGGAGTCCAAGGAGAAGTCACTTAACCCATATGGGCAGTCACTTCTTCTCTTGTGTCCTGGAGATGATTTTAGTTATTGCCAAGAGTTCACAAGGTTGCTGTTTGAAAAGCATTCGGTAAGCTCTATTATATGAATGTGAGCTCTGCTGTGTGATTTGCTGTGGCGTGCTGCTGGGAGCCCTGGGCTGACTTCAGGAGCCCAGGAATTACTCCTGCCTTCATCCCATACCAGCTGTTTGACTGTAGACTGTAAAATGAGGCACAGAATCAACACCCTTCTGGTCTGCTCTGTCAGGATCAAATGGGAGAAGAGGTGAGAAAGCTGGGAGCTACCAAGACAGATCAGAAGACTCAATGGCATCTATCTTCCTTTTGCTGTCCCCAGAGCAGCCATTTCAAGGGGTTCAGCCCAGCAGGGCAGATCTGTTCCCCCAGATCATTGGTTACATCTTTTGTGTGTGACCAAGGGTCCTCTGTATCCTCAAGCTGGAGCTTGGGTAAAAGCTTAGTCCTTAAAAGTTTCCAGGAATTTTCTCCTCTGTAAAAAAGGAGTTAGAAGTAGACTTGATGACCTCCAAAGTCCCTTCCATCCCCAGGATCCCATGGTCTTCATTAGATTTCTCTGATGGACTGAGGCTCTCACAGCCCTAACAGCATCCTCGCTCACAAATCCTGTGATAGCTTGAGACCTGGGCTGATTGGAGATTGTGGGGATAGATAGCACAAATGAAAATTTCAAATTAAACTGAGTGCCTGGATGTGATTAGCCACTTCCCAAATCTGGCCTGGCTGGAAAACATATATGGAAAACTGGAGATTACTGTGGCAATTTGTCACAAGAGCTAGCAGCAAGAGGGAGGGAGGACTGAGGATCTCTGTTGTTGCAACTATGGAGCCCCAGAAATATTGCAGTGCATGTACTTGTATATGTTTGGGTTCCTTGTAGTGGCAAATAACAACTACATGTATTCCATATGCATATCCCAAGCATGTTCCAGGAAGGGAAAGAGCAGAGCTAAGGTTTCCACCAGGTCTCTGGCTTCTCTGGCCTATACTCTCTCTGTAACATTCCACTGAGAAGATGCTCTTCAGCCCAGGGATGAGGGGGAGGGAGTGATCGCTCATCTTAATAGTCTATAATGAGGGGCTGAAAGAATCCAGTAAGAGGAAATGTGGAATAGAGAGAAACATAAAGTTCTACACTTGAGTTTCAAAAAACAGTTCATACACACAGTACAGAGGAGGCACAGCTAAACACCAGTACACATGAACAGCCCCTCAGAGCTTTCCTACATACAGTTCAGTATACTAACACTAATCTAATCCTGGGCTGCAATCAGAGAAGATACATCATGCAGGCTGAGGGAGGTGCTGGTCCTGCTCTTACTTGCCCTGGTCAGACTACATGTGGTATAGTGGGGGGGCGGGGCACATTTTGAAAAGGATATTTTTAAGCTGAAGAATGTCCAAGTTAGGCAGTCAGGAGGGGGAAGGCCTGCCTGTGAGGCTTAGTTAAGGGAACTAGGTACGTCTAGCCTGGAAAAGAGAAAATTGGGTGGAGGAGAACATCACAAGTATCTTCAAATATTTAAAGGGCTATCCCAGAGAAGAGGATTAGACCAGCTGTGCTTGTCCTGGATGATAGAACCAGGAGCAACAGTTAGAAGTTGCAAAAAGGAAAACAGATTGATGTCAGGAAAAACTTCCTAAGAATGAGAGCTATCCCACAGTGGGAGGGGCCACCCTGGGAAGTGAGGGAACCCTTTCACTAGAGATTTTCAGGCAAAAGCTGGCTAGCCAATAGTCAGTTAAGCTATAGAAGAAATTCTTATTCAGATCTAGGCTAGGCTAGATGGTCCCTAAGGTACTTCTCCTCTTTGAGGTCCTATAGTTTGTTGAATGAATGAATGAGATACTAATGTCAAATTACAGAATCACACATTCATAAAATCTCAACCTAAAGCTAAAACATAAAAGAAATGAATAGGGACAAATGTAAAGTCTTATATGTCAATTAAGAAAAATCAATTTGTCAGGGTACAGAATAGGAGGAAAGAGGGCTGCCAGGCTTAATAGGGGTTTGTGGGCAAAGGGCTTGAAGTTCGCAATTGACCATCTGTTCCATGAAATGTGAAATGATCGGTGAAATCTCTTCCTACTGTAATCCCGACAATACTTTCAATTCCTGTAATACTTCACCTAGATTTCTCTCAGTCCTTATAATGGCCCAGTGAGGAGACAAAGCAGATGGTGTGTATCATCACTTCATTAAAGCAGCTGAGATTCCAAATTTAAGTCACTTTCTCAGCAAATGAACCAGGAATAGTCTCCTGACTTTATGCTTTTTGCAAAAGCAATAGTTTCAAGGTGTTCTATGTTGGTCAGCTCCCATTTGGACAGATTTACCAGTTGTATTTGGGTTTTAGGTGCCACAGTCTTAGGACAGAGATGAAAAGCATCTGTTACCTGAATGGTTAGGGATATGAAGACTATGGTCAGAAAGAAATAGGAAGGAAATAGGGATGGAAAAGAGAATCCATAGGGAGGTAGAGGTCTCCTGCCTATCCTCAGATATTTGTGGGGCTGTCATGAGTAAGCCAGTCAGCATGGAGTTAAAATTCATAGAGAGCTCTATCTTAGTTGACTATATGAAACAACTTCCTGGCCAGAGAAATCAGCCCCCTTGGAAATGAGCTCCCCATCACTGGAGGTATTCAAGCCAAGGCTAAACGCACCTCTTAGGGTGCTGTGGGGTAGACGCAGTCATTGGGTGAGGGACGTTGAATAATCTCCAGAGTCCTTCCAACTCAGTTTTTCTAGTCTGTGGTTCTAAGAGGTCACTCAAGGTTTCAGAGCCCCCGATGACTTATCATATTTTATACTCTAATGCCAACTTCTTGACAGGGAGATCAGTGAACAGACCTTTGTGGGGGATATTGCCATATTTGGCTTTGATGAAATTTGTTATCTTTTTTCCAGATAGCAGCCCGGTTGTCTTATTGATTTTCATGGAAAAAAAATAATAAAGTATTTCAGGGTAGATGTCAGGGAGAAGATTGAAGGGAAAAAAATTAAAATGTCAAGCAATTCATCTTCCATCTCTTTATCTCACAGAGAAACCATCTACGGTAGAATGTGGAATTTTACTTCGGATTTCTCCAGGGGAGACACGGCATACACCAAGCTAGCCCTGGATCGCCACACAGACACCACCTATTTCCAAGAGCCCTGTGGGTATGTGAACCGACTAACCAGGATCAGAGCGTGCCTGTTAGGCTGACAGCAACTGTGTGTATACCTGTAGGTTTCTGGCCTTTTCAGTGGCATATCAAAATCTTGCTTAAAGGCCAGTGAGTTGCACTGGTTTGTTTTTTTTTTTTGACCTTGTGCTCCTGGAAGCCACAGTCATTCTATGATTTAATAGTACTCATCAGCCTCCTTTTAGTGTGGTGAACTCTAACATTTTAAATGGGAAAAGAAAGCAATCTAATTATAGAGCTAAGGGGTTTTACATTTTATTGAGTTGATTTTTTTTCCCCAAAGCAATTGACATCTTTAAGTAATTTTGTTCCATGGAGTGACTATTATATGGAATAGAGAAAAAGTCCCTTTCTCCACACATTTTGAAAAGAAAACCGATAACAAGATATCCATACTTCCTGTCCCCTGACACGCACAATCCACATTGCTTTTTTCTTCTTCCTCTGAAATGTTAAGCTTCCTAAACAGTATATGCTTTTTCTTTGATGAAACCAGAAAGGGTGACATTAAAAGGGACAGATCATTGTCTCTCCCTGGAGAGGAGGTCAGGGAAGTGAGAGCTCATCAGACATTACCACTCCAACCTTGTCTAGCTGACCCTCCTTAACCTGCATCCACTGTGAGGAGAATGATGGGCTGCTGATGTCACTGCTTCCGCTAGCTGCTGCTAGTGCATTTGGCCATCACTGGTGTCTGCCACAGTTTATTTCTCAGCTCTGCACTAGGGAGTGAGACACCAATAAACCCCACCTCTGAGTCACTGGTCATTGATGGCCACACCTTCCTTCCCCTTCAGTGTCTTATATCTAAAGCTCTTGTTTACACCCACACTGGAACCTAGAGTGAGCCATTAGTCTTCTCCAAAGGAAGATTTGAAATAAGACTAATGGTGTTTTGTAAAAGCACTGAGACTAATGCCAGATGCCTGTGCACAAAGGAGTCACCATTACTTATGCTAACTAGCAAGAGAGAAACATTCATCTGACTTACACTTCTCAATGCTAGCCATCAACTTCATTAATGGAATGCATGCGAACATTTGTTTATATTACTTATTAGACAATACAAACATTAACATCACTAGAAACAAACCACCCACCTGATGTCTTAGGGCTTCCCAGTAAATAGGTCTTATATAAGTTTATAAGTCTCAACAACAAGGTTCCTTCTCTGCCCAGACAGAGGCCATGTGTCTCCCTCTGAGGCAGTGGCCCAGAAAGTCACCAAATCTCTGTTAGGCAATCAGCACTGCCCTCAAGCTAACACAGGGGATTCCAGTCTCAAGTGCAGGGAATGCAGGAGTCAACCTCAGTCATGACCCAAGAGCAGGCTGAAGACTAGAGGTCTCTGGTGGGTTTCTTATAGTTCTAGCTATGGGTATTAGTTGGCTACACCCAAGTTCTGATCCGTTGGTTGATTACCTAAGCTTAGGATGAAAGGAAATGTCATTGTTTCTAATGAAACTGTTGTCCTTGTTGCTCAGTTATTTCTGACTCTTTGTGACCCCATTTGGGGATTTTTTGGCAAAGACACTAGAGTGGTTTGCCATTTCCTTCTCTAACTCATTTTACAGATGAAGAAACAGAGGCAATCAGGGTTAAGTGACTTGTTCAGGGTCACACAGCTAGGAAGTGTCTGAGGCCAGATTTGAATTCATGTCTTCCTGACTTCAAGTCTGGCACTCTATCCACTGTACCACCTAGCTGCCCAAGAAGGTGAATGTGAGATTCCCTATGGGACCAGGCTGAGAACAGGCTCAGACTGCAACTGACCTCAGCTGTGTAGGTGGGAAAGCTGTGAGGCTTACTAGCCTCAGTCTTGGCCTGTGGCTTACTTTGTTGTTGTTGAGTAGTTTCAGTCACGTCCAACTCTCTGTGACCCCATTTGGGGTTTTCTTGGCAGGGATACTGGAGTAGTTTGCCATTTCCTTCTCCGACTCATTTTATAGAGGAGGAATTGAGGCCAACAGGGTGAAGTGACTTGCCCGGGGTCACCCAGCTAGTAAGTGTCTGAGGCTGGATTTAAACTCAAGAAGATGAGTAGTCCTGCTTCCAAGCCCAGTGCTTTATCTACTACCCCACCTAGCTACCCCCAATTACAGTTCTTAAGAACTACTTGTTTTTAAGTCTTTCCTCAGAAAATGCCTAGTTCCTTTTGAGATAGTTTAGGAAAACTCTTTAAGGTACCATGCTTGGTACAAAAATGAAAAAAAAAACAAAACAGTCCCTCCTCTTAAGAAGTTTACATTGGGGGGCGGGGAGGGAAAGGTAATCAAATGTTAACTTAGAGAATACTAACTTAGAGAGACATCAAGAAAAAATTCCTATTTTTTTTTTAAAGAAGAGTTTTCCTAAACTATCTCAAGAGGAACTAGGCATTTTATGAGGAGGGCGGACATTGCAGTCCTGGGATGGCTAGCCTAGGCCAAGCTCAGATGCAGAAGATAAAGTTTGGCTGGAACATAGAGTTAGAAAGGGGAAGAGTTTTCATGAGCCTGGAAAGGTAGGTTTTAAAGACATTGACCTATCATTTATCTTTTATCCTTGAAGTGGTAAGAAGCCACTGGCAGTTAAGCAGAGGACTGATATGCTCAGAATTGGGCTTTAGGGAGATCATTTGGGCAGCTATGATTTTGATGAATACTTTTGTAATAGGATCGGTGCTAATGAAAGGAATTTTCCATTTTTTTCCCAAAATTCTTTTCTGTTCCAATAAGATCCTCTGTTGACCAATGAACAGAGGGATTTCTTGATGTCCCTTTTTTCCCCTCCTTTAGCATTCAGGTATTTCACTGTCTCAGACATGAAGGGACTGGTGGTAGGACCCTGCTCGTGGATGGATTCTATGCAGCAGAAAAGGTCCTGCAGAGGGCTCCTGCAGACTTTGACCTCCTCAGCAAGGTGCCACTGAAACATGAGTATATTGAAAATGTGGGCGAATGTCACAACCACATGATTGGGGTTGGGCCAGTCTTGAATATCTACCCATGGAACAAAGAGCTCTACTTGATTAGGTGAGCATGAAAAAATTGCCCCTTCCCTAGGCAGAGTATGTAATAAGCTGCTATTCTCCAAAGTGACTCTTGATCCTTAAGCCTACCCTCCTGATCAAAATCTCCCAAGTCCTTACATCTGTGCTCACCACAATATTGACATCTTACAGCATTCATTCCCTTTGAGGAGCTTCCTGGAAATCAGTTGAATGGTGTGCTGCAGCCACAGGCTTTATCAATAAAGACCTTTTGCTACAGGGAGAATCTCAGAAGAGGGTCTTGGGCAAGCTCAGAAATTAAAAAGTGAGAACAATCCCACAATAGAGGCTTGGGTTCAGGGAGATTCAATGTCATACATTTCCTAAAAGAGGTGGAAACCCAAAAGTCAAATCTAAATAGGGTCGGCCTGACTCATTGACTCTCAACAAATTAGTAAGTAGAAAAGCAATAGTCACCGCAAATGTGTACAAGTCACTTTTACTGATGAAGGCATCGATTGTCTCCTCTGCAATATGAACATGCTACAGCATGTTAAAAGGCAGCATAACAGGATAGATAGAAAGCAGGCCTCAGAGTCCAGAAGGCCTGGGCTTAGAGTCTGCCTCTGGCACAGCCTGGCTCTCAATGCCCCAAGCAACTCTCTGAAATAAGAAATCCACAGAAGTTGCTAATCTGTATTATCTCCCCAGCCCTCCCAGACTTTCAGGATAACCACTGTGTTACTTGGACCTAGCTTACAGCCTTGTTTATAAAGAAAGATTTCCACTTTTTTTCTGGGTTGCACCACAGGTACAACAATTATGACCGTGCTGTCATTAACACTGTGCCTTATGATGTTGTCCACCGTTGGTACGCAGCACACCGGACACTCACTACAGAGCTGAGGAGGCCAGAGAATGAGTTATGGATCAAACTGAAACCAGGCAAGGTGAGCTTCTCACTTTAGGATTGGAATGAAAGTTGTTTGCCCTGAATCTGATGGTAACTGAGCCAAGGAGTTAGGTATTGGTCTTTCCAGGTGGTTTCTTTGCTCTTGCTTTCAGTGTGAACTTGAGATGGTCATTAACTCATGGGAGCTGATGAACCCCAAGTGAAGTAGGGTAGAAGGAGAAGAGAAGAGGGCTCAGGACAGATCATTCAAATGCTTGGGCCTTCAGACTAGATCGTAAGAAACTCTAGGGAAATAGCACAGTGATAGCATTTTGTATAAAGGAAAAAATAGAAGGCTTCTTTCAATGGCACTGATTATATTACAAAAGAAACAGAAACAGAGCTGCCCAGTTTATCTCCCTAAAGCCCAACATCACTCTTCTGCTCAAGAACTGCCAGTGGCTCCCTACTCCTTCCAGAATAAAAGATAAAAGACTGAGCTTGGTCATTAAAGAGCTTTTATTGTTTATGCCTTGTGAGGAGTCTGATATCTTTTTGAGGAAGAGTGGAAAAATAACAGGAGAAGAGGAATAGTTGTTATTAATCAGTCAGTCACAAAGTAGTCATTAAGCTCACTAACTCACTAAGCATATAAAGACAGAAATGGAAACGTCTCTGTCCTCACAGAGCTTGCATTCTGTCCTAGAAGCAGGTATAAAATAAATATTGTACAAGGTAATACGAGGAGAAGGCACTAGAAGAAGAGAGATCCAGAAAGGTCTCATTGAGGAGGCAGCACTTGGGTAGAACTCCCAAGGAAGCCCTGGATCCTAAGAACAAAATTCTCATTTACATGGCCCTTATAAATGTTCCTTTGAATCTCACAACATTCCTTTTGAGAAGAATGTGCTATGACTGAGATTCAGTAAGTTTCCCAAGGCCACCTAGACATAAGTGGCAGAACTTTGAGGACAGGGTAGTTCAGTAGAGTCTTCCCATTCTGCTGCCTGGCTTCTTTGGGTCCTCTCCATTGAAATGTTATTATTTCAGCCAGTACAAGCTCCTCAAGTCTAGGTATTGTATGTGCTACAATTTTCCTTTGTAGCTTCTACCAGGGCCTACCACAGGATCTACCCCAGGAACTCCACAGATACTGAGTATTCAAACATGGTGACTGATTTTTTGAGCTCACTCAAAGCAATCTATTTAAAGCTTTTCTTTAAAGTAACCTCCAAGCAATTTGGAACTATGCCCAAAGGGCTCTAAAACTGTGCACACCCTTTGATCCAGCAATACCACTTCTAGGTGTGCATCCCAAAGAGATCATAAAAACAGAAAAAGGACCCACATGTACAAAAATATTTATAGCAGCTCTTTTTATGGTGGCAAAGAATTGGAAATTGAAGGGATGCCAATTAATTGGGGAATGGCTGAACAAGTTGTTGTGGTATGTGAATGTAATGGAATATCACTGTGCATGATGATGAAATAATGAACAGGCAGATTTCAGAAAAACTGGGAAAGACTTACATGAACTGATGCTGAGTGAAAGTGAGCAGAACCAGGAGAACATTGTACACAGTAACAGCAACATTGTGTGATGATCAACTATGACTGACTTAGCTCTTCTCAGCAATACACTGATCCAAGAGAATTCCAATAAACTCATGATGGAAAATGCTATCCATATCCAGAAAAAGAATTATGAAGTCTGAATGCAGATCAAAACATATTATTTTCTATTTTTTGTATGGCTTTTCCCTTTTGTTCTGTTTCACAACATGACTAATGTGGAAATATGTTTATATGATTTCACATGTATAACCTATATCAGATTGCTTTCTGTCTTGGGGAAGGGGGGGATGGGAGGGAAAGGAAGGGAGAAAAAATTTGCAACTCAAAATCTTATAAAAAATTAATGTTGAAAACTATCCTTACACGTAATTGGAAAAAATAAAATACTATTTACCCAATAAATAAATAAAGTAACCTCCACTGATTTCAGAATCTCATAGTTGTCTCCTCTTCTGATAGTGTCCTCTCTTTCCCTTTGTTTATTTACAGGTGCTATTTATAGACAACTGGCGTGTTCTACATGGCCGGGAATCATTCACGGGCTATCGCCAGCTATGTGGCTGTTACCTGACAAGAGATGATGTGTTAAGCACAGCCCGCTTCCTTGGACTTCAAGCTTAAAACTTCATCCATGGAAATGAAGTCTGACAGCCACTGAGCATGCTGATATACCAGAAAGAATTGTTTATCCTAAAGAGCAGGAAATCTTGTATCAGTCTTTAGATTGGCCTCCTAGAGCACCCCACAGCATTTAAGCATTCTCTTGCTACTGACATGAAGACATACATAAGAGAGGGTCTAGTAGGCTCCAAAGTCCCCCATCCAATGGCAAAGCATTTCCCATTCTCTTCCATAGAGCAGGCATTTTTTTTTTAGTTCTTGGGCCTTTTGGTGTAATCCAGATCAGCTCACTCCCATGCTATCCCCATAATAAATCCCTTTGTATCTGAATCCCTTAAAACAGGCCTGGAAGAGACTTCATCATTTAATCCAACCCCTTCATTTTAGAAATTAGGAAAACTGAGGCCCTGAGAAATTGAATGACTGATTCCAAGGTCCTATAGCTAATTTACATCAGAGTCAGGACCCAAACCCAGGTCTCCTTACTCCCCTGTCAAGGTCAGAGGAAGTCTCAGGAGGTCTCTACCATCCATCCTTTGTTTCCTGGCAAGGTCAGTGATCAGAGGTAGAATCAGGGAATCTCAAGTTTAAATGTAAATGGGACCTCAGAGATAGTCCAATTCCCACATTTAATATACGGGAAGTGATTTACCCAAACTCACACAGGTGACTGGGCTTGGATTTAAACCAAAGTCCCCTGACTTCAAAGATCATATAGCTTTTGGGTTGGCAGAGCCAGTATGTCTTCTGATTCCAAATCCAGTCCTCTCTTCTTCATTGACATCAGAATCATAGGATTCAGAACAGGAAGGGTCCTTAAAAATCATCCAGTGCAAGCCCCTCATTTGACAGATGAGGAAACTGAGGCATAGAGAGGTCCAAAATTATGCAGGCAGTAAGGAACACAGTTGGGATGCAAGAACCTTGAATACCAAAGACCTTGCTTGCACTTCAGAATGAAACATCTTTAAGTTATAGCTTAGTTAGCAGAACATGGTTATTTTCTGCAGTATCCATCATTTCATAATTTAGTTACTAGAAAGCATTGAATGCCTTCCATTTCAGAATTCTCATACTTTGGCTCTGATATTTTCATTCCTGGCTATGGTGGTTTCCCAGAACTTAATACTATGGTTGTAGTTCTCAGCCCCATAAATCTCCCTTGGGACTTGGGGGGAATCACAGGATGGCAGAGATAGAAGTGACCTTAGGGACCATCTGATAAGACCCCCTAATCTTAGAGATGAGGAAACTGTGACCCAGGGAGGAAAAAAGACAGGCTCATGGGCTCATGGATTTAGAGCAAAGGTCCTCAGAGGCCACCAAGGCCAGGTCTGTCACTGGACAGAAGCCCACAGAGCTAAAATGACTTTGCCCCAGGCCACACAGTAAGTGGCAGAACTCAGATTTGAACCCAGGCCCTGTGACCCCAGATTTAGTGCACAGTTTATGTCAAATTTTGAAGAGATTTTAGAAATAGGCCAACCGCCTAAATTTTACATGGAAGGACCTGATGCCAAGACGGGGAAAGGGATTTGCCTGGCAAACCTCTCAGCAAATAGTAACGAAGGATGATTTCTTTACCAAAGTACCTGTGTTGTTCTGGTTGTGCAATTTGCTGTACAGGGAGACAATATCTGGCCTGGCCAGTGAGTGCCAGAGCTACCATTTCTGTTGGGCTTCCAGGTTTGCAGAGCACTTTAATTTGGCTCATTTCTGCCTCCCAATAACCCTAGGAGGTAGATATTACAGGCCTTATGAGGGGCCCTAAGAAACCACGTACAGGACAACCCAGACATATGAGTTGAGAAACCACAGAGTGGAAGACGGGGTGTGTGTGTGTGTGTGTGTGTGTGTGTGTGTGTGTGTGTGTGTGTGTGTGTCTTTGTCTTTGAAAGGCAGAAAAGGTGGGGAAGCTTGTATGGATTCAAGGGAAGGAAAGGGAATAGAATAAGCATTTTTTTTTTGGTGAGGCAATTGGGGTTAAGTGACTTGCCCAGGGTCACAGCTAGTAAGTGTCAAGTGTCTGAGGCTGGATTTGAACTCAGGTCCTCCTGACTTCAAGGCCAGAGCTCTACTGCACCGCCTAGCTGCCCCTAGAATAAGCATTTCTAGAGAATCTGTTATGTGCCATGAACTGAGCTAAGCACTTTACAGACATCTCACAATGACCCTGGGAGGTGGGTGCTATTATGATCCCTATTTTACAGAGGAGGAAACTGAGACAAACAGATGAAGTGGTTGGCTCAGAGTTGCATGGCTAGAAAGTGTCTGAGGCCAGATTTCAATTTAGACCTTTCTGACCCCTGGTCTAACTCTCTGTACATTGTGGTGCCCCCTGGTTGCCTAGGGGTATAGTTCAGAGCTAATGCCCATACCGCTGCTGATATTCATAGTACCCTAGATTTATGTAGCACTTGAATGTTCCTAGAACATTCCACATACATTATCTCATTTGAGCTTCCCAACCCTGTATGGTAGATGGAAGAGGCAAGAGCACCATTCTACAAATGAGCAGATGGAGGTGCAGAGAGGTGTCATGGTCTAGACAGTGGATAGAGAGCCTACATCAGAGTCAGAAATATCAGGGTTCCAGTCCCACCTAGACACCTGTTGCCTGTGCAATCCTGGGCAAGTCCCTTAGCCTCTCAGTGCTCTGGACGAATCTCTGAGAGAAATTGCAAAAGACTTGTTACTCTCCATTAGTAGAGGGTGTCACCTCACCCAAGGAGTTCCCAAGGAAAGAATAGATCCATACAAAAAACAACAACAAAACCCAAACGCAGAACATTTTGAAAAGGATCAGGAAACTGGCCGTCCAGAGTGTTCTCAGATCTGTGGCCCCTACCCAGGGTGCTACCAGCCCTGTTCTTTCACTGTTGGAGCAGTATAAAACACTCTTCACTCTCCACCTTTCGTCTGGGCAAGGGAATGGAGGGCAGCTTTGCTGAATTGTCTAAAGGTCATGGCAGCATACAAGAGGAACCCTAAATCCAGACTGCTGGGTTTTTTCCCCAAAATTCTGATTTTCCCTCTCAAGAGGGAAATTCTATATACAGCAGAAAACTTATTTCTTATTTGTTCATAGGATTGTAGATCTAGAGCTGGAAAGGCCCTCAGAGGTCATCCAATCCAACCCTTCTAATTTTATAGATGAGGAAACTGAGCCCAGAAGGGTGCCTAAAGTCACACAGGCAGGATTTGATTCCTGGTCTTCTGAACACAGAGTCACTGTACCACACTGCCTCTTTCCAGAACTGGAAGGTCTAGATCCAAAGGCCATGCAGGCCATCTGTTACCAACCCCTCAGCAAAGGCAACATTCTCTTAATCCAACAATCCAACTTGAACTTCAATGCAAAGGGGCAGCTGCCTGTGATATTTCAAGTTCTTAATGTTTTTGATGTTGGGAGATAATTCGACACTCTCCTCTCCCCCCAATATTCATATCAGTGGAATGTGAAGTGTGTTGTAACAGCTACCAAATGTAAAGGGTTTTGCATTATGTTTTAATATAACTTATCTGCCTAATAAAAACCCAAAGCCCTTTACTGTAGAGTCATCAATTGAACCATACTAGTCCTTTGATGTGCATTCTAATGGGTCTTTCTTTAGCTATTCTCATGTGTTCTCAGGAGTAGTTAAGAAAGGGTGAGATTTCATGACTATTTTAGCTTGTGCTCTGGAACATGGGTTTCTAGGCAGTGATTGTTTTCCATGTTTCCCCCTATCCTTTACTATGTGCTTTTTCTTCTTTTTTTACTTCAGACCTCCCTAAAGGGGCAATCATTTTGTTCTCCTATGTTTGCCTTCACACAAGCTATATTTTGTCTAGAGTTTGAATTGACATTAGACTTGGAAGGGGCTTCATGGATTGTCAAGTTCTACCTCCCCCCATTCTCCAATGCAGTAGTTGTTGTTGTTGAGCCATTTCAGTTGTCCAACTCTTTGTCATCCCATTTGGGGTTTTCTTGGCAGAGATACTGGAATGGTTTTCCATTTCCTTCTCTAGCTCATTTTATAGATGAGGAAACTGAGGCAAACAGGGTTGAGTGACTTGCCCAGGGTCACACAGCTAGCATCTGAGGATGGATTTGAACTCAAGTTTTTCTGACTCCAGGCCTGCTGCTCCAAAACATCCCTAACAATAATCTGCTTGAACCAGGAACTCTACCTCCTGAAATAAGTATGTTCAACAATGGTTGAACAACTCTGATTGATAGGATTCATTCATTCAACAAGAATTTATCAATGGCCTCCTGTGTGTCAGGCCCTGTGTTGGGCACAAAGACAAAAATGAAAGTCTGCCTTCAGGGAGCTTACACACTATTTGTTCTTCTCTAAAATAGTATTTTATTTTTCCCAATTACATGTCAAGACAATTTTTAGCACTCATTTTTAGAAGATTTTGAGTTCCAAATTTTTCTCCCTTCCTCCTCCCTCCTTTTCCTATAATTATAGGCAATTTGATATAGGTTATACATGTGCTATCATGTAAAACATTTCCATATTAGTCACAGTTGCAAAAGAAGAAACAGATCAAAAGAAAAAAAATACAAAAAAGAATAAAGAAAGAGGAAAAAGTATGCTTCAATCTGCATTCAGAGTCTATCAGTTCTTTATCTGGATGTGAATGGCACTTTCCTTCAGGAGTCCTTTGTATGTGTCTTAGATCATTGAGCTGCTGAGAACAGCTGAGTCATTCAGAGTTGATCATCACACAATGTTGCTAATACTGTGTACAATGTATTCCTGGTTCTGCTCATTTCATTTTGCATCAGTTCATACAAGTCTTTCTAGGTTTTCTGAAATCTGCCTGTTCATCATTTCTTATTGCACAATAGTATATCATTACATTCATGTACTACAGCTTGTTCAGCCATTCCACAACTGATGGGTTCCCCTCAGTTTCCAATATTTTGCCACCACGAAAATAGCCACTATAAAATTTTTTTTGTAAATGTGAGTCCATTTCCCCTTTTCATGATCTCTTTAGGATACAGACTAGTAGTGGTATTGCTGGATCAAAGGGTATGCACAGTTTTATAGCCCCTTGGGCATAGTTCCAAATTTCTCTCCAGAATGGGTTGGATCAGTTCACAACTCCACCGACAGTGCATTAGTGTCCTCTCCAACATCCTCTCCAGCATTTATCATTTTCCTTTTCTGACATATTAGCCAATCTGATAGGTGTGAGGTGGTACCTCAGAGTTGTTTTAATTTGCATTTCTCTAGTCAAAAGTGATTTAGAGGGGCAGCTAGGTGGTGCAGTAGATAGAGCACTGGCCCTTGATTCAGGAGGACCTGAGTTCAAATCTGTTCTCAGACACATAACACTTACTAGTTGTGTGACCATGGGCAAGTCACTTAACCCCCATTGCCCCCCCCCAAAAGTGATTCAGAGAACTTCTTCATATACCTATAGAGAGCTTTGGTTATTTCATCTGAAAACTGCCTGTTCATATCCTTTGACCATTTATCAGTTGGGGAATGGCTTGTATTCTTATAAATTTGACTCACTTCTTTATATATTAAAGAAATGATGCCTTTATCAGAGACATTTGTTGTGAGATTGTTTCCCAGATTTCTGCTTTCCTTCTAATCTTGGTTGCATGAGTTTTGTTTGTGCAAAAGCCTTTTAATTTAATCTAATTTAAAATGATCTATTTTACATTTCGTAATGTTCTCTATTTCTTGTTTGGTCATGAATTCGTCCCTTCTCCATAGATCTGACAGGTAAACTATTCCTTGCTCTTCTGGTTTGCTTATGATGTCACCCTTTATGTCTAAATCATGTACCCATTTTGACCTTATCTTGGTATATGGTGTGAGATGTTGCTCTATGGCTACTTTACGTCCTTTTGTTTTCCAGTTTGCCCCACAATTTTTGTCAAATAGTGAGTTCTTATCCAAAAGGCTTTGGGTTTATCAAACACTAGGTTACTATGATCATTGACTGCTATATCTTGTGTACCTAATCTACTTCACTGATCCACCAGCCAGTACCAGATAATTTTGATGATTACTGCTTTATAACATAGTTTTAGATCTGATATTGCTAGGCCACCTTCCTTTGTATTTTTTTTATTAATACCCTTGATATCCTTTTGTTCTTCCAGTTTAATTTTTTTTTCTAGCTCTATAAAAGATTTTTTTGGTAGTTTGATTGCTATGGCATTGAATAAGTAAATTAACTTAGGTAGAATTGTCTTTTTTAATAGGTAGGCTTGGCCTACCCATGAGCAATTGATATTTTTCCAATTGTTTAAATCTGACTTAATTTGTGTGGGAAGTGTTTTGTAATTGTGTTCCTGGGTTTGTCTTGGCAGGCAGACTCCCAAATATTTTATATTATCTACAGTTATTTTAACTGGAATTTCTCTTTCTATCTCTTGATGCTGGGCTTTACTGGTGATATAAAGAAATGCTGATGATTTATGTGGGTTTATCCTACAACTTTGCTAAAGTTGTTAATTATTTCAAATAGTTTTTTAGTTGATTCTCTAGGGTTCTCTAAGCATACCATCATATCATCTGCAAAGAGTGATAGTTTTGTTTTCTCATTGCCTATTCTAATTCCTTCTATTTCTTTTTCTTCTATAGCCAACATTTCTAGTACTATGTTGAATAATAGTGGTGATAATAATGGGCATCCTTACTTCACCCCTGATCTTATTAGGAAGGCTTCTAGGTTATCCCCATTACATATAATGCTTGCTTTTGGTTTTAGGTAGATACTGCTTATCATTTTAAGGAATGCTCCCTTTATTCCTATGCTTTCTAGTGTTTTTAATAGGAATGGGTGTTCTATTTTGTCAAAAGCTTTTTCAGCATCTATTGAGATAATCTATTGGTTTTGTTAGTGATATGGTCAATTATGTTGATAGTTTTCCTAATACTGAACCAACTCTGCATTCCTGATATAAATTCCTTAGTATAGTGTATAATCTTTGTGATATATTGCTGTGGTCTCCTTGCTACTATTTTGTTCAAAATTTT